TAGTTCTGTATTTATTACCGACTGATTCTCCTATTATCTCTAGCCTTGTATAGCTGATTCCTAGAGATATTGTAGGGGTTAGTTGGCTTGTCACGCAAGACACCACCTGTATATATTGTAACAGACTCCGATGAATACAATTGAGTTGCATCATATAGTCTTCTACAATGGTATATTTAAAAATAAATGCGCCAAAGGTACCTACAATAATAAAATTGCCATGCTTTATATTATAAAAAACACGAATGGTCTGATGGCAACTTCAGCAGGAGAAATAATCTAATATTTCTGATCAATTTGCAGGTGAAACTGCAACATGTCCATGAATTTCAACAACAACAAAAAAAAAGAGCAAAAGAGACATACTATAAAACAAGTTTTTCTTACGGGGACACATAAAACAGTTGCCATGATATGTAGAACAAAATTGCATTACTATAGATTCATTCATCTGTGTAAATATTGCCGATAGATATTTTTCAGTCCTTGTGTTCTTTAATCTTACCGGAAATGCTAGCTACTCCGCAGCACTAGCACGTGCGATATCTATACTAACATCAGCACAAGTCCAACATCCTTTCGGAGATTCCTGTCTTCCTTTGTGCAAACTGTTCCATTTCCGTTCAAGCGCTATTCTGAACCCAGCGAGATCGCCTCACACGAGCAGAAAAAAACACGGATTCACACATCCAGAGCCCAAAAATACTGCACCCGTCTCGTCTCCTCCCCCGACCGGTCAACAGCAAACCATGCAGCTTCGTCGTAGTGTCCGTTCCATACACCTCCTCCACTGTTCACGACTTGACTGCAAATATAAAACTCGAGCGGGACAGAAGGCTCACACGACTCTTCTCTCTCCCTGACTCAGCTCCATCGTTCCGTACTACTCTACTACTCCGACGCTGCGGGGCTCTCGGCTAACCACCTCACCTCACTAGCTCCCCCCACCTACAGTAAACAACAGAGCATCAAAGATCCGGACCGCCGGAGCCGGAGCTGGTTATTCGCATGGCCGCCTCGTGCAGGGAGCTGGCCGGGGCCGGCCTAGCGCGGCCGGCGACCTCGAGTTCGCAGCCCGGCCGGAGCCGGAACCAGCTCTGCTTCGCGCCGATGCGGCAAGAAGAGCGGCAAGGGAGGAGCAGCAGGAGGGGCGTGAAGGTGGTGGTGGCGGCCGTGAGCGAGGAGCTGCCGAGGCTGGCGTCGGCCGGGAAGGGCGCGGGGGCGGCGGTGAGGCCGCCGCAGGGGAAGGTGGCGCTGCGGGCGGCGCTGACGGTGCGGCGGAAGCAGAAGGAGGACCTCAAGGAGGCGGTGGCGGGGCACCTGGACGCGCTCTGGGACATGGTCGGCCGGGGCGTCGTGCTCGAGCTCGTCAGCACCAAGATCGATCCAAGTAAGCGAGCACTCACCAGAGCAATCAGTTTCATTCCTGGTACCAGTGCTAGCTCGGCCGAGTTGACTTCCCCAATCGCCTTTGGAGCGGTTCAATCTTGCCAAAATATTCGTTTCGATCCCTGTTCGTTCGAGTTCTTACTTCTTTCTGGGATGCTAGCTGCTCGTCTGCTGCTGTTGATGGTCATGGTCCAGACCAAATTGGTAGGTGGCAACCGGGGCCAGGACCAGGAGACGCAGACGGACGATCCAATAATGGCGTGTTCGTGATACGGTCATGCGAGCGTTTGCAGTAGTAGGATATTCCCTCTACATTTTCATTTTCCATGATAAAAGGCCAAGAACCACTGCCGAATATTGCAAAGCTGATGATCAGAATCACGTTCCGGTTTTTGTGACCGGGCAGAATCGCTTTCTTTTTGTTGAGGGGGCCGACCAGAATCACTACGCACGACTGCAATCAGCATGTTTTCCTCCCCTCTCCCATCATTTCTCTCTTATTTTTCTCCCATCAACATGTGGCCGGCAAAGCTATGTGGAGTCCCAGATTTTACTTTTGTCCGCTGCCACGTTTCCCAACTAGTTTTGCCCCCACACGTGACGCTCATGGACCCGTCGTGCCGTCGGCAGGGACGAGGAAGGCGGCGCGGAGCGGCGGGGCGTCGGTCAAGGACTGGTGCGCGAAGCGGGGCGCCAAGGGGGAGCACGTGGTGTACACGGCGGAGTTCACGGTGGACGCCGGCTTCGGCGAGCCGGGCGCCATCGTCGTGGCCAACCGGCACCACCGCGAGTTCTTCCTCGAGAGCGTCGTCGTCGAGGGCAGCGCGCTGCCCTGCGGCACCGTCTACTTCGACTGCAACTCCTGGGTGCAGACCACCGGGGACCTGCCCGGCGACGGCAACAGGGTCTTCTTCAGCAACAAGGTACGTGCGTTCGTGCAGTTCTTTTTCGCTTCAGGTTCAGGAAGAAGTCATGGACTTGGTAGCATTGGGTTATGGCCTTGACTGGGTGCACGTAAACGTAATGGCAATCATGCGTTGATTAACAGAGATTTTTGGCTGCTAAAGTTGGTGGCGCATCGTTGTCTGTGATGTTGATAGAGGGAGAAAGGAGGCCATTAGCTACAGTCTGAAAATAAAATTGGAATCTGATAAATAAAATAAAGTAAAGGAGGTAATTAAGTGCAAATCTAGGAGGACAATTTGAACGCATGATTTGATTGAGACATGTCATTGTGGCCCAAGTAGAGAAAATCTGTGGCCTGTACGAGAACAATCTCTTAGCACTAACTTACTACATTTATGAACGAAGTGGACATCAGTGTCATATATCTGTTCCTTCAAAAAGAAAAATCATGTGTATGTTTTCCAGCAATGTTAACACTGACAGGCTCGTCGATCTTTTTAGGATTTGCCGAAAATTTAGTCAAGACCATTGAAAATTCATTGTTCATGATAAACAACTTATGGTCACCCTATTCTCAAATGGATTATAGTTTTTCTTTTCCTTCTCGAACACAGTTTATAGTTGATTTCTTTGATCAGTAAAGTGATTTCCTTATGCTTGACTCAATTTACCGGGAGTTTGTAATACTGAATTTGTGATATTATATGGATGATCTCCTCATGCAGCCGTATTTACCGTCTCAAACACCTCCCGGGCTTAGAGAAATAAGGGAGAAGGTGCTGAGAGATCTACGAGGAGATGGTACCGGGGTTCGAAAGATATCTGACCAAATATATGATTATGCCATGTACAACGATCTGGGGAATCCAGACCGGGGTAAAGAGTTCATCAGACCCATCCTTGGAGGCGACAAGATCCCTTACCCACGTCGATGTCGGACCGGTCGTCCACCAACTGATACTAGTAAGTTCTGTTATCTTCTTGAAACCATTAGCAGATAGTGGAAAACAGAATTTGGCCTGAGACAGAAAAGTGTGTGTTTAGTGTCCAACTATATCTACCAGTGTTTGTCCAGTTCTATTTGATCAAAGGCCATGTCATTGTCAGACTTTGGTAGCTTGAACCATCAGGCAGTAGTCCTTAACCACATGGTTTGATCCAATGAGGCTGTCTGAATTTGACAAAGAAAAAGCATGGGTTTACACAAGAGCTAAAAGTTAGTCTTGGTCATATTCTTGCAAAATATATTCGACGCACTCCATGGATAAAACACCATGAGTTATCAAATTGAAAAAGAATAGTTAGGTTGGAACCATATGTCCAGTGGCAACCTGGAAGCATCATATACTGTATCTAGCACATTATGTTACATTGTTTAGTTTTCTCATGTTTCTTCGTTTCTAGTGACTGTGAACTCCATAAGAAAGCATGACCACTGTCAGTATTCACTACTTACCACGAAAGGTTCAATAGTTGGTTGTTTTCCGATTTTCGTTTCATGAAATTGAGTCTTTAGTTTGTAGTTGTGTTGATTTTTTCTGATAGTGCTACATTACACTTCTTAATTCTTTGTGACTGATATGGCATGCTTATTGCTTAGTTATAACTTCAAAGACCGGCAATCAAACCGTTACTTACAAAGTGACCCTAATGAATTCTTCAGATAGAACAATTTGGCATTTCACCTCATACAGAAATGTTAGAATTAACATTGTGCACCTAACTGTGGTGCAGACATGCTATCTGAGAGCAGGGTGGAGAAGCCGCATCGAATATACGTACCTCGAGATGAGACATTTGAGGAGCTGAAACAGGGAGCCTTTATATCAGGGAGGCTCCGAGCAGTACTTCACACCCTAATCCCCTCGCTAATTGCATCAATCTCAGCTGACACCCACAACTTCCAAGGCTTCCACCACGTTGACAACCTGTACAAGGAGGGTCTCAGGCTCAAGCTAGGCCTCCAGGAGCACCTGTTTCAGAAGATACCATTTGTACAAAAGATTCAGGAGTCGAGCGAAGGGATGCTTCGCTATGACACACCTAGCATCCTTTCCAGTAAGTAAAGTTCATCACAATTTACCTTATGCTGGTGTGTCATCACCAAATGTTTGTTCAGGCTCAGTATCCCTGAGAGTTGCCGCTTTAATCCTGTGATTCCACAGAGGACAAGTTTGCATGGCTCCGCGACGACGAGTTTGCACGGCAGGCTATTGCCGGAATAAACCCAGTTAGCATCGAGAGGCTCACGGTAATTAAAAAATACATGGTCCTTAGTGAAATCAGGAGTACTAATATACTACTAGGGCGATCAATGAAAGTAATCCATTTTGTATTTATTTGATAAATACTTAACATGGGGGATTTACATCGAAATAGGTTTTCCCACCAGTGAGCAAGCTGGATCCTGCAATCTATGGTCCACCAGAATCATCAATTACCGAAGGGCACATTGCTGGTCAGCTCAATGGATTGACAGTACAAGAGGTACCTTCATACGACCGAGTCTTAATTTATGTTCAGTTATGTACCAATGATCATTCTTGTACTGATTCTGATCACACACCTTATGAACAAAGGCAATAGATAAGGAGAAGCTCTTCATTGTAGACCATCATGATGTGTACATGCCATTCTTGGATCGGATCAATGCGATTGAGGGACGGAAAGCATACGCAACCCGTGCAATCTTCTTCCTGACTCAAGGTGGCACATTGAAACCGATCGCGATTGAGCTTTCTCTTCCACCAGCCCAGTCAGGGGAGCCTCAGCCAAGCAGGGTTCTTACCCCTGCCTGTGACGCTACATCCAACTGGATCTGGATGCTTGGCAAGGCGCATGTCAGCTCCAATGATGCCGGTGTTCATCAGCTTGTTAATCACTGGTATGATTTTTTTTCATTCTTCATTATCAACTGTTTAGGCTGAAGTTATTTTAAATTTCAGTTTCAGGAATATTTCAGCACAAACCGAAATCACTGAATTTCAGTGATTTTGGTTTTCATCTCAGCCAAAGGACCAAAACACCCACTTGAAATTCAAAAACATATTTGAAAATTGCGAATTTTTTTAAAAAATAGATTTGAATTCCTGGAGTGCAACTGAAATGCCTGAAATATTTTGACCGAAAGGTAAATATTTCGGTGTCTACCGAAATGACTGAAATTCAGTGAAATTCACTGAAAGTGAAACCCAGTCATGCACTGGAATGCCACTGCTACTTGAACTGTCTCCAAAAAACTGGAGCACCTCCTGCGAGTGTGACCAAGGAAATACTTACCATGTACACTTTGACAAACTCTTTCAGGTTGAGGACGCATGCTATAATGGAGCCATTCATCCTGGCGGCGCACCGGCGTATGAGCGCAATGCACCCGATCTTCAAGCTCCTGCACCCTCACATGAGGTACACGCTGGAGATAAATGCGCTTGCGCGGCAGAGCTTGATCAATGCCGAAGGGGTGATCGAGTCCTGCTTCACCCCTGGCCCTGTCTCTGGCGAGATCAGCTCGGCATACTATTGCAACCACTGGCGCTTCGACCTTGAGGGCCTCCCCGCCGACCTCCTCCGCAGGCATGTACCCTCCACACACCACTGCCTGACATTGTAACTGAGAATGATTTGTACAATGGTGATCACTGACATCCTCATGTTCTCAGGGGAGTGGCTGTGGAGGACGCCACACAGCCTCACGGCATCAGGCTTCTCATCGAGGATTACCCTTATGCAAACGATGGGCTTCTGTTGTGGTCCGCCATTGGCAACTGGGTGGAGTCCTACGTGCAGCTCTACTACCCGGACGCCGGCACGGTCCAGTCCGACGACGAGCTCCAAGAGTGGTACCACGAGTCGATCCACGTCGGCCACGCCGACCTCCGGGACGCGCCCTGGTGGCCGCCGCTGTCCACGCCGCGTGACCTCGCCAACATCCTGACCACGCTCGTCTGGCTCGCGTCGGCGCAGCACGCGGCGCTCAACTTCGGGCAGTACCCGCTGGGCGGCTACGTCCCGAACCGGCCACCGCTGATGCGGCGGCTGCTGCCGGACCCGGAGCGCGACGCGGCGGAGTACGCCATGTTCCTGGCGGACCCGCACCGGTTGTTCCTCAACGCGATGCCCGGGGTGCTGGAGGCGACCAAGTTCATGGCGGTGGTGGACACGCTGTCGACGCACTCCCCCGACGAGGAGTACCTGGGCGAGAGCCTCGACGAGGGCGCGGCGCCGTGGACGGGCGACGAGGAGGCCCTCGCGGCGCACGGCATGTTCGCGGCCGACGTGCGCCGCGCCGAGGAGACCATCGAGAGGCGCAACGCCGACCACGGCAGGCGGAACCGGTGCGGCGCCGGGGTGCTGCCGTACGAGCTGCTGGCCCCCAGCTCGCCGCCGGGGGTCACCTGCCGCGGCGTGCCCAACAGCATCTCCATATGATACGCACGCCATTGTATACCCGCGATTCGTTCTGGATTTTGTTTAGGGGATTCCCCTTATTTAGGGCCAGCTTGTCGATATGGTTTTGATCTGGATGTTAGTCTCGTGGTCTCCCAAATCCAAATTCAGACCAACCTAGGCCGCATTCGTCGGGGGATTGGATGATTTGCCCATCCGTGCTCCAACGCATGTGGTTTGTTTTGATTGAAACAAAATAAGGCCCGGCCCTACCCCCTTAAAATCAGGGAGGGGGAGAAGATTAGATTAGAAAAAGAAAAGGAAAAAAAAACAGCCGTAGAATGAAGTGAGAGTACGGATGGGAGCATAGGAAGGGAGCAGGCAAGCCGGATCCATTTTACAAGGGGTTGATGATTTGCCCCATGATTGTCTCAATGACACTGGCCCCGTGCCTCACCCGGCAGATCTCACTCCACCACCGAAATGATCAAAATGGAGAAGTAAAGTGTGACAAAAGAGAAGTAAAGTGTGGTGAAAGATTCAATTTCTATGTGGCCGTCGCTGATCTCGCTTCACCGCCAGTGGCTGCCGCGGCAGACATGGGTTTATCCAAGGCTGTTCTATCGATGTTACTAGCATTTTGAACCGTCAGTGCCAAGTACATTACTTTTGGTCCAATCTCTATCGAGTTCGATGTCATCCTAAGTAAGGCAATGCCATGGTTACAATTTGGGTCATTCTTGAACGAGAGCTCCTCCTCGGCGCCTATAGCGCCACGAGAGGAAGCTGGCGCTCACGCGCCTTTAAAGCAGGTCGTGGCCCATTAAGGCGTTGTTTGGGTAGCGACGGGATTATATAGAACTGGTGTTTAGCCAATTTTTAGTAAAATCGGTTTTATCAATTGTTATATGTGTAACCAGTTTATGAAAAAAGATGTTTGGACTAGAAAAAACTTAGGATCGATTTGTCACGTTCCTTGTTTGGTTTGGATAGGCTTTTCGCCCACACGCATCAACGAGTTTGTTGAGAAAAGGATGGGCGCAGAGAAAAAGTTAGCAATTGATTATATCCAGATTGCGTTTTTAGAAAAACAACTAATCCTCGTTTTTCCATATACCCGAAATCTTGGATTATGGAAAACCAGATTTTCTATATTCACGGATTAGATAGAGTTGCCAAATAGGATTTTAGTTTGTTACATCGTTTTCCTAATTTGTGGAGAACCAGTTCTCTACGTGATACACAAACAACGCCTTAAGAGCATCTCCAACAGGCACGCGATAGCGCGGCGCGCTAAAATTTTCTTGCAGCGCCGAAATAGTATTTTAGTGCGCGCATGAGGGTGCTTATTTTACCAGGCACTGCAAAAATTAGCACGTCACTATAGTGCTTCATCAGGCGCAGCAAAATCTAGCGCGCACGACCAGCCGGTGCTTGGAAGAGGTGAGGGAGAAGGTGTGGTGACGGCGGGGCGGGGGAGAAGGCACAACAGCGGAGGGGCGTTGGAAGAGACGAGGAAGAAGGCGCGGTGGAAAGGAAATCGTGGCGGTTGGCGGTCGCGGGAGCGTGGCTTTCAACCAGCGCACTGGGTGCCGCGCGCAAAAACTACCGCGCGTGCTGCCGCATTTTCCCCTGTGCGCGCCGCGTGGCCTCTCACGCGCCAAACTGGCGGTTTATCCAACGCGCCGGATATTTCGCGCACCTCTTGGAGATGCTCTAAGCGCTAATCTTCCTGCTTGCTCTTGTCTTTGCTCGCTCGTGTGTTAGCTCGCTAGCTAGGCTCATCACTATTCGCTCAGGTCTTCGTGGTTGACTGGCCGCAGTCGAATGGGCCTGTTAACTTTCTGACATTTTTTTTTCAAAAAGATCGCAAAAAACAAAAATGTTCACAGAATTTGAAGAAAGTTGGATAATTTGAAAAACGTTCATCCATTTTAAAGAAAGTTCACGAATTTGAAAACAAAATCATTGATTTGGAAGAAAAGTCCACAAATTTGAAAGCAAGTTAATAGAAGTTGAAAAATGTTCATTGAGTTTGAAAAAAAGTTCATCAAGTTTGAGACTTTGAAAAAAAGTTCATCGAGCTTCAAAAAATTTCATTGACTTTCAAAAAAGTTCATCGATATTGAAAAAAGTTCATCGTGTTTGAAAAAATTTCATCAAATTTGAGAAAAAGTTCACCAAATTTGAAATATAAAGTTCATCGTGTTTGAGAAAAATTTAATTGATTTTGCATCAAACCAGCAAGAAAGAAAAAACAAAAAGGAAAGAAGAAAACGAAAAATGGAAAAAGGAAAAGGAAAAAAGGAAAAGGAAAAAAAAGTACAAGGAAGAAAAGAATGAGAAAGATGCACATCATCACATTAGGCTTGGTGGTGTGATGGTTATTGCGGTGTACGACGAAGGAGGAGGTTGCTTGTTCGAATCCCAATTGACCTGCTTTTCTTTTGCTTTGCGTTTTCAAAAAAAGAAATAAGGTAAATAGGCCCTGCTTTTCTTTTGCTTTGCATTTTCAAAAACAGAAATAAGGTAAAAGGGCCGGCCCATATAGGATCGATGAGAGATTGGGGGGTGTGCACCACGTACGAACTAGCCTATATCCGGCGCTTAAGGCATCGAATAGGGTTTGGTTTCATGAACTTGACTTGTTTGTACTATCAGAGCATCTCGCAGATCTCTATAAGTTATATTCGAGGATTTTTTTTTTCTGTTTTAGGGGATTAAGACCTAGCCAGCAGATCCTCAAAATCATTTTTTTCTGAAAAATTTACTAGCTAGCTCTGACAGAACTGTTGGTTCTTGCTCAGGCTTCACTACACCTTTAGAAACTGTGAGTAATTATTTCATTAGTGTAGAAGATTTTGAAGCACAAAAGCATGCCTCCGAGGAGGTATGATTCCTAGTATCTAAATATAAAGGACAAGCACCCCAGGACTATGCCTTTATCGTGAATGCACTTTTTTGGAATGCGAGGGGGATTGTTTCCCCTGGTAGGAAAACTCTGATAGTAGATAGCATTAGTAAGACTCATGCTTCAATCACGGGGTTTCAAGAGACTAAGAAAGATAGTTTTTCTGAATCCTACCTTAAATCTTTAGTGGGTAAGAGAATTTTTTCCTGGCACCACCTCCCATCAAAAGGCACTGCTAGTGGCATCTTGATGGGAGTTGATCTAGAAATTTTTTAAGTTAACTCTTGGTCTTGCCTAGATTACTTTGTTTGTTGTAATGTTCAACTAAAAAGTAGTGGTGAGAAATTTAGGAATATTACTGTTTATGGCTCCCCTTATGAAGAAGGGAAAGGAGCCTTTATTT